CATTCGGTAGAATTTATAGAATATTGTAAAAATTATGGTCTATTACCAACATATATATATATATATATATATATATATGAGTAAATATATATATATATATATATATATATATATATGAAAGTTTTATACCCACACACACTCACGCACACACTCGCTACATTATTATTTTGTTAGCAACGTCAAACAATCTCACTATTTATAAGTTTTGCGTAGTCGTTAGTCGCCTGTTAACAACGGCATCAAGCTGAATTCGAATTGTTTTTAAATTAATTTTTAATTAATATTTTAATTATATATTAATTAGTATAATTTTGTTTCATCGTCTCAACAACATTAAGCTACGCTGCGTTGCGTATTTATTTGACAGATAAAATAAACGTTCAGTTCGTTAAGCGTTTATTGGGAAAAAAGATTGTGATTCTTATTATTATTGTTGTTGTTGTTGTTGTGATTGTTATTTTTTATTATTATTGTTATTTTTATTGGCGGACTTTGTCCATAAGTTAGCCTCCTAAAAGTGATAAATTCATAATCTGAAATCTGTACTGCTCTGGCTGGGTGAAATAAAAGAACTTAATTTAAAAAAATATGAATTTTTTTCATTTATCTTTTTAATGTTTGAATTTTTTAATTGTAAACTAGCTGCTATTTAAGTCCGGCTTTCGGAATAAGTTTTGAGATGTTATTTCTTCTCATCTTCATCATCGTCATCGCCATTAGGCTTATTGATGCGTTCAAATCAAAGACGTTATCATCCATATATCACATATCATCGTCGTATATCATATATCATCACATTTTTTATCTTCAACGTCAACATTTGATCTAATCGTGATACATTGCTATCATCATTATTATCGTTGCTAACATTTATAACCATGTAACATACCACAACTATATATCATCATATATCATATATTATATCATCATATGAGTTGTTATCATCGTATATCATAAAATTTTCATCTTGATCATCATCAACATCGTAAAAAACTGAATCATGAATAAATGCATTAAGGTTGATGATACTGTTGTTTGTCGTTGTTAGCGTGGATTGTATTTTATCTCGTTATCCTGCTCCGTCATCGTCTTAGCCATCGTTCGTCGACATCATCTGCATCTTCATCATCGGGTGTACGGAAATTAAAATTCTTTTGTAATCAACATTGTCATCGTCAACAACAACCTCAGCAGCAGCAACAACACCATCTTCGTCTTCATCATCTTCATCATTTTCATCGTCTTTATTGATATTATCAACAACAGTATCATCAACAAGTCGTTGTCATCATCGACAACTTCAAAACATTTATAGAATCAAAAAAAGACAAACAGTTCGAGCACTTAATCAAAAAATTATCAAACGTTAACACTGAGATAACAGTGCTAACAACAACATTAACAACAGCATACGAGTAACGTAAAATCAAAATTCCTAGCACCAAAAACTTAATACATCCATTTTCGCGCTAAAAAATTTGATTTTTCCGCTCAAAATTCAACCTACCAATCAAAATGGCAATAGACGAAAAGCTGACATTTCATTGGGCGGACTACTTAATATTCATACTTTCCATCGTCTTATCAGGAGCGGTGGGCGTGGTGAAGGGCATCATAGACCACATGGCAAGCAAGAAAGCGATGAGGTCAACAGTGGTGACCACAGAGAATGGAGAAATGAAAATACTGGAGAGGAAGAAAATCGAAAGAAATATTTCAGGTGATGATGATGATGATGATGGTAGTGATGATGATGATGAGGGTAGTGATGGTGATGATGATGACGAAGATGATGGCAATGATGATGATTATGAGAATGATACGACGATGATGACGGTGACGATAACGAAATAGCGATAGAGCCATCAACTCTGATTACAGATCATCAGTAACATTACATACATCAACATCACCACCCAACCTCAAAACCACTCAAATTAAAAACTGCAACCACAACTACCACTACAACTACAACCACCACTACCTCATCAGTGTGGCCAGCTTCACTGAGCGTCATGGCTTCTATATTGGCAGCCCCGCTAATTCTAGGAGTACCGGCGGAAATCTACTTCTACGGGGCCCAGTTTTCGTACTTTGTGCTGGGCATTATGGTGGCAATCCCCATATTTGCCCACCTCTTCTTGTCAAGGTTTTACAAATTGGAGATATCAAGTATATATGAGGTTGTTAGTTTTGTGTGGCGGGGTGAATAATATGTTTTTTTTTTGTACATTATCTAATTTTCTCATATTGAACAATGTTACGTCAACATTTTGATTTTTTTTCATATTTATTATTTTTTTTTATTCATTTATTTATTCATTCAGCCAAGCGTTCAGCCATTCATTTGTTTGTTCATTAGTTCATTTGCCCATTGATTCATGCATGCCTCCATTTTTCCATCTATCTGTCCATCCATCATTCATCTACTCATTCGTTTGTCCATTCATTCACCTACACACTCACTCACTCACTCACTCATTCACTCACTCACTCATTCATTCATTCAATCATTCATTTATTCTTTCATTAATTCATTCATTCATTTATTCATTCACTCACTCTCCAGTATTTAGAGTACAGATTCAGCAAACCTGTCCGATCGTTATGTTCGGCTATATTCGCTCTCAGTCTTGTGAGTTTGATTAATCATGATATCGGTCGATTTGATTAATTGTAGTTATCCCTTTTTTCACTCACTCATTCACTCATTCACCCACTCATTGATTAATTAATTCATTCAATCATCTATTCACTCATTCATTCATTCATGCATGCATGCATGCACACTTACAACTTATATTCACTGCAACTAGATAGTCCACATTGGAATCATAACGTACGCACCGGCCATTGTTCTGTCGGAAAGTTAGAATTTCATTTCATCTTATATTATGTTGTATTTAATGGGAGCTGATTGAATTAGTTGATTGATTGATCGGAATATTGTCTGATTGGCTGGTAAAAAATTGTCTGATTGGCTGGTTGGCTGGCAAAAAAGTTGTTTGATTGGTTGTTAAGTTGGTCAGAATGCTAGTTGATAAATCAGTTGATCCTCGAAAAATTATTTCATCTGTTGGCTGGCTAGATAGAGTTAATTTGGTTGGTTGTTTGGCAAGAGAGAAGTTATTTGATTGATTGTTTGGCTAGAGAGAAGTTATTTGATTGGCTGGATGCCTGAATAAAAAAAATAGTTGATTGATCGTTGATCAATTATAAAATTACATCACCCTCCTGACAACAGTGACCGCAATATCAACACAGCTGGCAGTTTTTGGCGTTGGTTTCATTGGGATCGTGTACACAACTGTGGTTCGTTTTTTCTTTCCATCACCTTCTTTCAAGCCATGCAAAACCATCCTCAAAATTTCCCTCATTTGACTGCAAATAAACTCTTGCGACACAAATATTTTTAAATCCATACAAAACGCGTCAGTATAAGTACTGGAAATAAAAAAAAAAAAAACTTGAATGTTTTTTGATACAGGGTGGCTTGAAGGGGGTAATATGGGTTGATGCCATACAAATGCTGATCATACTGGCCAGCCTGCTGGGCCTGATTATTAAAGGCAGTCTCAACGTGGGCGGGTTCGGGGAGGTCATGAGGATCAATTACCAGTGGGGTAGAATAGAGGGACCATCGTGAGTTTTGCTTGTGGTGGTGTTTGAATTTGTATTGGTTGCTGGTGGTAGGTTGATTAAGTGTAGTGTGGTTTTTGTGTGGTTGATGTAATTTGGATTTTTGGTGGGTGGTTATTTATAAATTGCGGTTGATTATGCATTTGGTTGAATTATTTACATGATTGCTAAATATGGACATAAAAAACTTTAGCAAGAAAATATTCCAACATAAAGTTACCCAATTTTAAAGATTTATCTAAAATTGGCAATAACTTTGCAGATTCTCTGTGATTCCAAGTGAACGCCACACGGTTTGGACGCAGATGATTGGCGGGGGTATGAGTATTCTGGCCCTCTACAACAACCAAGCCATCGTGCAAAAATTCTTGGGTCTCAAATCTCTTAAACATGTCTATATGTTAGTATGATGATGATGGGTATGATGATGTATATGTGTGTATGGGTGTATATTTGTGTGTGTGTGTGTGTGTGTGTGTGTGTGTGTGTGTGTGTGTGTGTGTGTGTGTGTGTGTGTGTGTGTGTGTATGGATGTGTATGTACAATATCAACATTATTTTTTATCATCATCGTTTTTATCAGCCAGTTCATCGTCATAACATATCATTAACATTATCATAACCTAAGCGTCTTGGATCATCATCGCCATCATAACCACCCTCATCATAATCATCACCATCATCACCATCATCATCACCACCACCACTACCATCTTCATCAACAACATCACTACCATTATCATCATCATCACCATCACCCCCGTCTTTATCATTATCAGCACCGCCTACATTTCGATGGTGGTCAGCTGTTTGTACTTCAGCATGTTCGTCTTCATTGGGCTGGTCATCTTCGCCAACTACTCCACTTGTTCTCCCTTCTTGAATGGAGCCATCAGTTTCGCTAATAAAGATAATGTTAGTGATAAAGATGAGGAAGATGAGGAAGAAGATGATGATGAAGAAGAAGATGATACTAATGATGATGATCATGGTGATGGTGGTGATGCTGGTGATGATGATAATGATGAGGATGATGATGGAGATGATGATGCTGGTGAAGATGATGGTGGCGATAAAGTGTTCATGACAACTATAACATGGAAATAATGGTAATTACAATGACGGTGATGATAGCTACGACGAGGATGATAATTATACGAACTGGACACACAAACACACACACACCCATACACACACACACATACAAACACAAACACACACAAACACACACACGTACATGAAGCTGGTACCATATTTTGTCCTGTCCGTATTTCAAGACTACCCTGGTATGGCCGGCCTATTCACTGCTTGCGTATTCTGTGCATCCCTCAGGTTTGTCATCCATTACATAAAATTTAGTTTAATTTAGTTTAAGTAAATTAAATTTCAATTAAATTGAGTAAAATTTGTCAACAAATTCAAATAAAAACATTTCAACTTAACTTAAATTAAATTTATTTTTTAGAAACCTTTTAATCAGTTTATCACACTATACGTATGCAGCTTTATATGAGCGGTAGCATTCATTTGACTAAAATTGGTAGGACAAAGCAGGACTGCTTAATTTAACGCCGAGCCAATAAGCAGATATAATGACGATAATGGTGGTGAAAAAAATGGTGATATGTGTGTGTGTGTGTTTAGGCACCATAACCAATCACACACACATACAAAAAACAATCACACAAACACATACAAAAACACATATCCACGTACATCAATCACACACACACATACCAAAACACATATCCACATGCATCAATCTCACACACACACACACACACATACAAAAACACATATCCATACATTCACATGCATCACACACACACACATATAAAAACACACATCCACTCCACATCCACTCCACATACAAACACACACATTCTCGTACTAACATATAGACGGTCATGTGTAACGCTTTTACATTACTAATGTATGATTGTTGCCTTCATCAGTACAATGGCCGGGGGCATGAACGCCCTGGCTGCCGTGACGGTACTGGACATCGTGAACCCCCTCTATAAGAGGTTGAAGAATGTGGCGATGCCCGGTCGATTGGGCTTCGTTGTTTTCAAGGCCTTGAGTTAGTGCTCTTCTTTTTGTCATTATTATAATAATAATAATTATTATTATTATTATCACGATTTGAACATAATTTAATGCGGATTCTATTTCTCTTTGTGCCCTTTTAAAAGGTATGGCGAGCATTGTAGAATATCTATGTAATTTACATTATAAGTTTTATTACTTTAACTTTATAACTAAAATATATGTTTTAAAATGAAAATAAAAGGATTATTATTATTGTTATTATTACTGTTATCATCATCAGTTATCGTGTATGGGATAGTGTCCATAGGGATGGCTTTCCTGGCCTCGACGATGGGGAAGGTGCTGTTTATGTTGGCGATGAATTTGTTGGGTGTGGTTGGTGCACCTATACTCGCCGTCTTCATCATGGGGATATTTATGCCGTGTATCAATTCTGTGGTTGGTTGTGTGTGTATGTGTGTGTGTGTGTGTGTGTGTGTATGTGCGAGAGAGAGAGTGTGTGTGAGTGTGTGTGATGTGTGTGTGGATGTGTGTGTAAGAGAGAGAGAGAGAGAGAGAGAGAGAGAGAGAGAGAGAGAGAGAGAGAGTGTATGTGTGATGCGTGTGTGTGTGAGAGAGAGAAATCATCACCATCACCTTCATCACCATCACCTTCATCACTATCGTCACCATCATCTTCTTCATCTTCCTCATCACATCAGGGTGCAGCAACTGGCCTAATAGTAAGCTTGGTCTCGATGATCGGCTTGTTCTTCGCGGGCGGACTAACAATGAAAAAGTACCGACTGATGGAGAGGTACCAACTGCACCTCTCCAACGAAACCTGCCCCCAGCCATTCACTAACTTCACTTACGTCAGCGGCGTCAGTTCTACGTCTGCTACTGGGCCCCCAGAAATTCCCAATCCCATTCCTAATCCAATTTCCCTTAATCCGAGTGCTGCTACCAGGTTTTTGTGGTTTTTAATAATTAATTTAATAATCGAATAAAATTGTTTGTCGCATATGTGTGAGGCAATTATATTGATGTGTGTTTAGCAATCTCACTGGCGAAGAATAAAAAATTATCTAATCGTTACTGGCAATGATTTTGGACGGCTATAATAAATAATTCAAATAATGAATAAGTATATAAACAACCAAACAAATTGATTGATTGATTAATTAATTTTTTAATTCAATTAAAAAATCAAAAATTACATTCAAGTTCAGTACCCACTCATTACCTTCATGTCAACTAAATAGATTAATCAGCCCATCATTCATTCATCTTACGTCTCCTTGTTCATTCGTTCATTCTTCATTCATCCACCTAATTCAATCATTTATTTTTCATTCATTCATTCAACTGATGACAAACAAATTATTATTATTTTTGTAAAGATGTATAAACGAAAAAAAATTTTCGTTTCAATTTTTGTTTTGAAATTTCCATCTGAAGTCTGTCGGCAGTTGAGCACATATTCACAATATCGTACATGTGGTATGCGGTCGTTGCAGTCATCCTCGCCTTCGTCTTCGCTTTCATCGCCAGCTGGATCACTGGTTGGTCTCGCGTTCATTTATTTGTTTATTTGTTTGTCTGTGTATATTTGCTTGTCTGTGTATATTTGCTTGTCTGTGTCTGTTCGTTTGTCTGTCGGTCTTTTACTGATGAATATTTATAACCGTTTTACTGATGAATATTTATAATCGTTTTACTGATGAATATTTATAATCTTTTTACTGATGAATATTTAAAATCTTTTTGCAATTCGGACCCGGTCATAGCAGTAGTATAATAGCAACACTTTGGTATTACGATGTCTAAACATGCATACATACCATGAAAACCCGTTGAGTGCAGGTTTCAGGAAGAACAAGCCAGTTGATGTGGACTTGTCATACCTCTGCTGTTACAAGCCTGTAGATAAAGTTTCTGTTATTGAAGAAAAATGAATTTTTTAATTTTATCAATTAGATATTTTTTAAATTAATTAATTAATATATTTATTTGATTAAGTGTTTTTTAATCAAAATCCTACAATTCCGACTCGCATAATACTAGACTGTGAGGATATGTAACAGACGACGACATTTTATTCTTCAATTTTATTTTATTTTTTAAATTGAAATGGGCTTGTACAGAACTTTACTTTTACATGAAAACACGTTAATTTTTAAACGTCAACTTCACCGCTGTCTACAAAAATTAATTTAAACTAAGGAAAACTTGGAACTCCATGGCGGCCCGTATAAAAATACATACAAGTTGTTTCACACAATTATCAATTGCAATCCAATTCGTTTATTTATTCTAATCTTTATTCATTTATTTATTCGATTGTTCATTCCTCCATTTATTTGCTCATCTTTTATTTTTATTCATTCATTTGATCACTCATTCCTTGACTCATTCATTCCCTCCATTTATTCATTCGTTCATTCAAAAAGAGTCGCTCAGCTCCGATTTTGCTATCAGCCAATCAAGTTGCGACAAATGCTGCAGACCACTTGACCACTGGGGAGGGCCGAACTGAACTGGAAAAGTTTCTGGAGAAAACGAGAGAGGAGGAAAAAGTGATGGAAGAATTTTTAGAGATCGACGATGAGGATGGCACCGGTGTTTATAGCTATGGGGTCTTCACTAGAAACCGCTGTAGTCGATGTAGAAAGTCTTTAACATACCGCTGCACCAAATTTTGAGTACTAATTCACCAAATTTTGAGTACTAATGTCCTAAATTTTGAGTACTAAGGTACTACTCTATGAGTACCAATGTACTATGAAATAAAGCGAATTTTAAGTACGGATGTACTATTATTAATAAAATACACTCAGTTATAAATACTAATCTACTAATATTAATAAAACGAACTAAATTATCAGTATAAATGTACTAATACTAACAAAATACTCCCCATTTTAAATACTAACGTACTAATACAAACCAAAAAAAATTAAAAATACTAATACAAATGTATACTGATGTGACGCGCAATAATTGCATGCATACATGCATGCCTCAGCCAAACCAGACGTTTCAGATGTTGTTATAGTCAGTCATAATTATTATTATTATTATTAATTTTCCGTGTTATTTACTTTAGTATTTTTATATTAGTGTTAATAATATAAATAGTAATATTATTATTAAAATTATTACTCATTAACCCATAGTCCCACCTTTAAATGACTTCTTGCTATCAAATCAATGAAATCAGGTCTGTTGGCCAATATCGTTATAAATCTATGGAAAAATCCAAAGACTAATCAATCTTATATATACATAAATATGTGTGTGCGTTTGTTTGTATATACGTGTGTGTGTGTGTGTGTGTGTGTGTGTGTGTGTGTGTGTGTGTTTGTGGGACTGTGGGCATGTATAACACGTTTATTTTTATTGTATGTTCATTATCACTGATATAAAAATTATTGTGTGACCTACCTGTATGTGTGTTCGATTATTTGGGAATGTCTGTGTACGTATGTTTTTGTGTGTCTGGGCATGTGTACATGTGTGTGTGTGTACGTATGTTTGTGTGTGTTTGTGTATGTAGGCAAGAATAGCAGAGACAATAGGTTGCTAACGGAAACATCATCCTCTTTATTCCATACAATATTATTATGTTGTCTATCATCTGTTTGTTTTTTATTTCTTTTATTTTTTGGAAAAAAAATTGACAATAAATTTGATATTAACTGAAATTTATTGAGCATATTTAAAGTAGTTAAGAACGTTAAATAATTTAATTTTTAGTGTAAATGGACAATATGTTTATATAAGTCTGCGTGGTTTGACTGTAGGTGCATCTGCATGAATTCGTAATATGATGAATATTGAAAGAAAAAAAATTGCATCATTAAATTTAATATACCTTTTAATGAAGTATTATTATTTATATTAGGCGTGTCATTTTAGATCATAAAAAAATGCTAAAAAAATAAAAGAATAATTCACAGAAGAGAACGTAAAATAGACGGCCTGCGTGTATGTGTATCAAGTAAGTAGAAATCATGTCTGGAGAAAAATATACAAAATAAGTTAAGTAAATAAATATTTTTTTTATTTGAGCGGTATGTAAGGACGAAAATTATTTTATAAACATAGTAAAACAAACGAAGAAACGTGTTATGGGTGAAGATGATCGATATAAAGATTGTATCAAATTCATGCGATGTTAAAACAAGAGACTGTTGTAAACCTACAAACATACAGGGAAATACATTCATATGTTTTATTTACTTTTGCACACACATTCATAAAAACATATGTATGTATGTATGTATGTATGCATGCATGTATGTATGTATGTATGTATGTATGTATGTATGTATGTATGTATGTATGTATGTATGCATGCATGCATGTATGTATGTATGTATGTATGTATGTATGTATGTATGCATGCATGCATGTATGTATGTATGTATGTATGTATGTATGTATGTATGTATGTATGCATGTATGTATGTATGTATGTATGTATGTATGTATGTATGTATGTATGTATGTATGTATGTATGTATGTATGTATGTATGTATGCACGTATGTATGAATGTATGTATGTATGTATGCATATATATATTTGTGTGTGTGCAATATATACACAAGTTATATATGCATATAAATATATATATATACTCGTATGTATTTATATAAACTGACGAACCACAGTACAAGTTTAAAGCGTTCAAAATTAATATCGATTTAACCGTAAAAATATCATATACACAACCCATCCGATGTATGTATGCGTGTATTTTGATGAGTTTAATTAGGAACAGTGCGTATTTAGTGTTGTATAATGAGTGCATACGCGTGCACAAATATACACAAGCAAGGTTACACTGATTTTAAAAGGTACATATAAGTTTGAATGTATGTATACAATTAGTCATAAGAGCTAGCGATGATAATCAATTATTATTAAAGTTAGTACAAATTTCTTGGCATATTTAACATTAAAGGAACCAATTTTGGCATGTCGGTATAGATAAGCTACCGAAGGATTGGTACATCATTAATTTCAACCGTTCAATTTTCAGAAGCGAATAAAATGTTCGTTTTGTTTTATCGTGGTCGATAATTTAAACTGCTTTGATGTAAGTTATTTCAGCTGAATTACCGAAAGGTAAAAACTCACCGATTCATCTATGTCGGATGACGTAGTTATATCTTTGAAAGAAATATCAAGTTCCATTAACTATGTATAGTTACATGAACACAATCAACAAATCGGCGTAACTTATGCAAGACGGGCAGACATGTGTTGTGTCGGTAGTTTTAAAACATGTCGGAAACAATAGAACAACGAAATAAGAAGCAACATTCGTTACTTGTCTGTTAGAGTGTTAGAGAGAGAGAGAGAGAGAGAGAGAGAGAGAGAGAGAGAGAGAGAACCTAGAATCGCTCGTTTTCAACCTCATTGTTAAAGTTGTCATCTCTGTCGTTATTTTCGCTACGTTTCTTACCGAACGCAAATGCTTCATCCAACACCTTCCTGAATTCATCCATGTCGGTGACCAATAGTGACCCAGTCCGGCTTTTATTATTGTTATTATAATTATTATTGTTGTTGTGGCTGTGGTGGCTGTAGCTACCGTGATTGCCACTTTTCACGCTGCCGTTGGTTACGTTGTCTGTGGAGAAACCGCTGTCGTCGAAGGCGTCTTCTACGATGTCTTTGGCCATTTTTTTGATCTTTTCTGATCTCGTTTTATCGTCCGCGTACATGGGTGACGATGGTAGTGGTAGTGTTTGAATTCCGGAATACATGTTGTTGTTGTTGTTGTGGATGTTGTTGTTGCTGTTGTGGATGGTCCTGTTACTGTTGTTGACGAATGAAGGCGAATACCTTTGAAGCGGTATCTGTTGTTGTTGCACCGTCGGTATGACGTATGGCTGGCTGCTGAATTGGTTGTAGTCGATGGTCGGTGAGTTGTTGTTGCTCGTTTTTATTGGGATGAAGTATGGCGAAGGTGGTGGAAAGAGAAACTGCTGTTGTGGTTGGTGTGGCGGCTGTTGTGGTTGTAGATTGTTGAGTATTGGGTATTCTGTTGATGATGGCGAAGATCTTATCGACGCATTTTGATTATATTTGCTGTCGTTGATGCTGCTGATGTTGTTGTTGCTGTTGTTGTAGTTATGTGTAGCAGATGTAGTATGGTATCTGATGGGTCTCATCTCTATTGATTCCTGTGCAAATATAAATCCAAAATTTTGTTAAGGGGAATAGTTCTACGGATCATTATATTGAACGCATACAACAATGTGTGTTTTTCATGCAACTTTCTGCATTTTCCTATATCACTTCATCCATCCATTCATCAACCCATCCCATCCATTCATTCATCCATCTATCCATCCATCAGTTTATTTTTTCATTTAATCATCCATCAATCCATCCACCAATTATTTCGACATTTTTTAATTCATATGTCCATCAAATAATCTCAAATTGTCCAAATTTGTTCTTCTATTCACCAATCTATCAATCATTTTATTCCTATTATGTTTTATCTATTTCATCAATCAATCATTTTATTCATCCATATTAGTTTTTCTCCACCTGTGAATCATATTTGAGATGGATGTATTACTGCACATGCACTGTGCGCAACATTTTCAACAGAAAACAAATAAATGGACACTCATCGATTTTTACATTTGTTCATTCGTTCATTTATTCATTCTTTCATCCATCCATCCATCTATTCATTCATTCATTTGTTCGTTCGTTCATTCATTCATTCATTCATTCATCCATTCATCCATCCATTCATTCAAACCTTGTCCATCGTGCTTGATTTTTTCCTCTGTTTCAATGTCTTTTGCTTGTTGCGTTTGGTCGGAGTGGGCACGATGATCTATATTGATGGATGAATGAATGAACGAACGAACGATCGAATGAATGAATGAATGAATAAACAATTGATTGAATAAATGAATGATTAAATATACAGAAGAAAAAGCGGTTGTATAAACTTATGAACGAATTTATAAACGTTGGAACTCTTTTTGAAGATATTTTTCATTGTTAATAACATCAGTTTTACTTTGTCTATAACAGATAAAAAAAATGCCACGCATTCTACCAACCTTTGCTTTATAGCGCACATCTTCTTCTTTATCATCATCATCGTAATAATCATTATCACCATCATCATCGTCGTCGTCGTCATTCTCAACATCACCCATCCTTCTCATCTCATTATCAGACTGTCTGGATAACAAATCGCGTCTGCTGTCTGGACCACGTCTGTAATAATGTAGGTCAGGTCTGCTGTCTTGACCCATATTTTGATGTCTGGTTTTAGTTGAATGCGTGGGCGAATGTGGTGACTGATTATTTCTGGAGCCGTTTTGATTTGAATATGGCCTGGAGTTTCTGAAAAAGTTTTTATATTTAGTAACGTTACTTCGTTAGAGCGAACGCAACAGCAATTGCGTAAGTTATTTATTTTTTTGCTTCTCGCTCTTTCGTCCGGTGTTCAAAGTGCTTTTCAATAAATCTCGCTTGGAAGCATGAAGATCTGGAGATAGATTTTGAATATCGTAGCGGAAAGTTAGTCAGAAAAGGCAGAAAAAGAAACGGCGAACTCTGTGTCATCCATATCTTTGTTTATATCTTCCGGATCCAGACACTCATTCGTTGAAACAAACGGATAAACCAGGAAGATTTAAAATGGGATTGAAAATATCAGGATAGCACTCGGAAAAAGTGATAAAAAGTTTTAGAAGAAGTCCAAAAGAATGTGAAAGCAGATTCAGTGTAAACTTGTTTAGTAGGAATTTAAGAAATCCACGTTCAGAGTCGCCTGTTAGCAAGAACGCAGTTATATCGATTGTATGCAGAGTTCTCTTTAAGATACTTACAATTTCGGGGTAGGTTGATCATAAATAACAAAATAATAATTAATGACAATAACAATAATATCTGATTAATATATAAATAGAAATAGGACTAACCCATCATTAACGTCATGAACGTGCAGACGATCGCTGCTCGTTAAACGCTCAAATTTCGGTTTGTATGGTTGATACGTAGGTAAAGTATGGTCGAAATCGGTATCTGGAGACAGTAATTGCTGCTGCTGCTGCTGCTGATGTTGTTGATGCTGCCGCTGCTGTCTCTTCATGCTTATTTTTTTCTTTGTGGCTCCCTCTTGAACTCGTAACGTTGAGTCCTTCCGGCTGCTCTGACAACATCATTATCACTATATTTATCAACATCATCATCATCATCATCATCATCATCGACAACAGCAACATCAACGTTATCACAATCATTACTTTATTTTCGGCATAGGCTGGGTTTTCCATGCTGCTTCTATTTATATCCCTTCTAGCGAAGAACTCATCGGCTGACGTCACACCTACGTCATACGAGGTGCTCCTGTCAAACTGCGTCACCTTCTTTTCAGTTGTTTGTTGTTGATGTTGTACGTTGTTGATGTTGTTGTTGTCGATGTTGTTGTTGCTGCTGTTTTGTTTGTTGATGTTGAAGGGGTAGGAGTGTGGGTTAGGCCCGAGGTTGTTCCTCTGGAAGAAGGGAAAATGAATTGGGTTAGGGTTAGGGTTATCAATAAATTTTTTAATTTTTTTAATTCTTAAACAAACGCACATGCATAAAAACTCACAAAAAGTTTCACGTAAGTAGGCACACAAATTTAAAAATTTATACAAACACACACGCAAACAAAAAACCCACTAAATGATCTTTCTTATCCTTTTCCTCTCCGTCGAGATGGGTGGCCCCTCCTTTCATCAACTGTCCAGTGCAGATGGAGTGCACCAGCCAGCCAACAAACAAGACGACGATGATAGATATGAAGATGACCAGGAATATCGCCCACTTTGGAATTAAGAGAAAAACTTCTCCCACGTCTGGCGGAAGTGTTGTGGTCGAGCCAGAAAGCAAGAGTTCCAGAGGAACTGGAAAGCCCGCCACCTGTGAGATTTGTTATATTTCTTTGTGACTTTGATGGGCTTTCCACTTAAGATTATGTACTTCTTTTTGTGAGAATTTTCATTGAAAATTAAAACTAAAAATAAAGAATGGACCTCTAAGACGCTGGTCAACTTCTTCCCCAAGTTATCTGGCGTCCCGTAACTCCTAAAAACCTTAGCAACGTCATTTGAATCTACGGTCGAACCATCTTTGTTGTTGACGACGACGAAATCAACCTGTATGGATCTAGAATCCCTGATGACGCCTTCTGCGTAAGAGAAGTTATTGTAGACTGTTTGAACTGGGAGTGTGAAGTTGATGATGGTGCCGTTCGCCCTTGTCGTTAGGTTGAAATAGATAGAGGTGTTACTGCTTTTCACAAATATGGTGCTTGTTGGCATTTTGATTTGGGTGTTGTTGTTTGTTTTGTTGTTGTTTGTGTTGTTGTTGTTTGTGTTGTTGTTGTTGTTGTTTGTGTTGTTGTTTGCGTTGTTGTTGTTGGTGGTGGTGGTGTTGTCGCTAACTACTGGACTGATGTTGTATCTATCGTTGTATATGTTGATGACTGTATCGTTGTTATAATTGTTGTTGTTGTTTGTGCTGTTATTTTCGTTGTTTGCGTCGTTGTTGTCTGCTTTGTTATTGTTGTTTGTGTTGTTTTTGTTGTTGGTTGTGCTGTTGTCTGTGTTATTGTTGCCGCTATTGTTGTTTGTGTTGTTGTTGTTTGTGTTGTTGTTTGTGTTGTTGATGTTTTTTGTGTTGTTGTTGTTTGTGTTGTTGTTGTTTGTGTTGTTGTTGTTTGTGTTGTTGTTGTTGTTTTTTGTGATTCCACTATTGTTGTAAGACTTATAGATGTTGTTGTTGTTGTTTCCGTCAAAATTGTTGCCATAATTTCTATTGATGATAACCATATCAGTGTTTATGCGATTATGTTCATCGTAGTCGTTGTTGTTGTTGCTGTTGTTGTTGTTTATTATTTGAAAAATAGTTGTCATTTTGGCAGAGAATGTAGTATTAAAAGTGATAGAGGTAGTAGTAGTAGTAGTAGTAGTAGTAGTAGTAGTAGTAGTAGTAGTAGTACTAGTAGTAGTAGTAGTAGTAGTAGTAGATGTAATATTAACAGCAGTAGTAGTAGTAGTAGTAGTAGTAGTAGTAAACAGTGATGATAAGGATGTTTTTGATGTTGATGATGTTGGTAATGATGATGGTGTTAATGACGATGACGGTAATGATGACGTCGTAGCAACTAATGTCATGACGTCATATTCAACTGTTTCCATTTCCGGTTGGATATCTCGTTTCATCCTCTTCGGACAATTCGCCGTGCAAGTGTCATTTAGAATCTTTGGATTTAAGGGTGAATGAATGAATGGATGAATGATTGAATGAATAAATGAATGAATGAATCATCATCGTCATCATCATCCGCATCATCATCAAAACACCAACCACAATTGTTACATCCTTATTTCTTGTAACATTCAATAAATCTATCTGCTCAACGTATGCGCTTTTCAACTCTGAATGTTTGATTGAATGAATAAATGAATGAATGTGTGTGTATGTGTGTGTATGTGTATTTGTGTGTATATGTATAACAATAATAATAATAATAACAATAAAAAACTCACCACTAGAAAGTTTAGTGTAGTTTATTTCCACCATAACTCGAACGACGAATGCGAGAATGTTGTTGTTGAATGTCGTTGTATTGAATGTCGTTGTGTTGTTTGTTGTGTTGACTGTTGCTGTGTTTGCTGTTGTGTCGTTGGTTGTGTTGTTTGTTGCTGTGCTGTTGTTGTTTGTGGTTTTATTATTATTATTAATAATACCAGTGTTGTTGGAGATTGTGTTGTTGTTTGTCGTTGTGGTGCTATTGTTGATGTTTGTTGGGTTGTTGTTGGCTGATGTGTTGCTGATGGCATTTGAATTGTTGTTAGCTGTTGTATTGTTGTTTATATTGGTTGTGTTGTTGTTATTGTTTGTATTTCCAGGGTTGCTGTTGTTGTTGTTAATGATGATGTTTGTTGTGTTGTTAATATTTGCTGTGTTGTTGTTAGTTGTTGTGTTGTTAGCTAGTTGATTGTTGTTGATGCTTGTTGTGTTGTGGCTAGTGTTGTTGATGATGTTTGTTGTGTTGCTGCTAATGTTGTTGTTGATGTTTGTTGTGTTGCTGCTAATGTTATTGTTTGTTGTGTTGTTGCTATTTGTCAAATTCGTTTGCGCTATTAATGTAGTTGAGGATTGCGTAGTATTAGTAGTAGTCGTAGTATCAATAGTAGTTGTACTATTATTATCTTTATTATTATTATTGTTATTATCAGTAACATTTGTAGTAGTATTTGCTGCGGTAGTAGTAGTAGTATTGGTAGTAGTAGTAGTAGTAGTATTGGTAGCAGTAGTAGTAGTAGTATTGGTAGCAGTTGTAGTAGTAGTATTGGTAGCAGTTGTAGTAGTAGTATTGGTAGATGTAGTATTCTTGGTGGCGGCTGTTGTTAATGATTCATCCTTTGGTATTTTTGGATCATTAACTGACGACTCGTTGGATGTTACTGATAATGGTGAGGTTGGTGATGTGTTGTTGTTATTATTATTGTTGTTGTTGTTGTTGTTGTTTGTATCGTTTGAAATCTCCCGCTTAAATAGCAAACGTTTGGTTAAATAACGTTTCACAACTTTGTTGCTGGTTTTTATGCTGTTGTTGTTGCTGCTGCTGCTGTTGTTGTTGTTGTCGTCGTTGTTGTTGTTGTTGTTGTTGTTGTTGTTGTTGTTGTTGTTGTTGTTGTTGTTGTTGTTGTTGTTGTTGAGTTGATCATGATTTAAGAGTAAATAAATGAAAAATAACAGAACAAATATGAAGCTTATCAATTTTGTTATCCTGAAAATGTTGATATAATGTAGCGTAATGTTGTTGTTTATGTTGTAAGTATTGTCATTTTGGCTGATTTTAGTGCTGTCGTTGATAAAAAGTTGAGCAAATTTGTTGACGTTGTTGTAAAATCTGTTGATGTAGTTGACGTAATTGTTGATGTCTTTGTTGAAATTATTGTTGTGGCTGTTGTTGATGTACGTGATGACGTACATGTCTTTTTTATTTGTTTTTGTTGGCTGCAACTGCCTGTACATGTTGTCATA